CCCGCGGGCTCAGGCAATCCACTCACCTCAGCCTCCCAAAGGCGCGGGATTACAGGCTGAGCCACCGAGCCCGGCGAAGAGGTACTCTTTATTAGCCTGATCATTTCCCTACTCTTGCCATCTCTCACCTTGCAAAGCCAACCCCTCTGCTGGTCCCACTGGTGTCTCGAAGGATTCGGGTGGAGATAACCTGGCCAAAGGGCTTTAGCATCCCCTCCAGTTCTTGCTCATCCATTGACAGTGGGAGGTTTGAGATGTATAAATTTGTGGGGTCCTGCTCCTGTTGCTATGGAAATAACAGTGAGAAAATAAGGCTCACATCTCTTATCCCTCACCCACCCTCAGCCCTCATTCAAAATTACATTTCAGAAAAGAGATTATAGAGGGGTTCCACACAAACAAAAAGAATTTTAACTATTTATAATATCCAGTCCCACTACTATGCATTGTATATGGAGTCCGGGGGAGAAAAACACAAATTTAATATTTTTAATTTTATTTTGAATCAGAGTCTCACTCTGTCGTCCAGGCTGGAGTACAGTGGTATGCTCATGGGCCACTGCAGCCTTGAACTGCTGAGCTCAGGTGATCCTTCCGCCTCAGCCTTCCAAGTAGCTGGAACCACAGGCGTGCGCCACCACGCTCAGCTAATTTTTGATTTATTATAGAGATAAAGGTCTCTCCATGTTACTCAGGCTGATCTTGAACCTCTGAGTTCAGGCAATCCTCTCCCCTCCGCCTCCCAAAGTGCTGGGATTATAGGCATGAGCCAGTGCCCTGCTACTATTTCTAATATTATATAGGCCCACCCCACAATATAAGTCATCAGTGGTGTCTGGCCAGGCATGGTGGCTCACGCTTGTAATCCCAGCACTTTGGGAGGCAGAGGCAAGGGAACTGTCTGAGCCCAGGGGTTTCAGACTAGCCTAGGCAACTTGGCCAGACCTCATCTCTACAATAAATCAAAAAATTAGCCAAGTGTGGTGATGCCTGCCTGTAGTTCCAGCTATTTGGAAGGCTGAGGTGAAAGGATCACCTGAGCCCAGCAGGTCAAGTCTGTGGTGGTCATGAGTCTGCCAGTGTTATTGCACTCTACCCTGGGTGATAGAGTGAGACTCTGACTCAAAAAAAAAGAAAAAGAAAAAGAATGAGGCAGAGCAGCGCTCCCCAACGGCCTGTCCCAGAGGCTGGATCTGTTGAACTGCCTCCTCCTTGGTTGAACTGTTTTGAATAATCTCCCCTCTCTCTTCTCTTCTGACGGCCAGCAAAACCCTCACAGTAGCAATGCCTCCATCCTCCTTCCTTGATGGAGGAAAAGCAGGAAGAAGGAAGAAGGGGACAGAGAAAGGGCCAGATGTGCCCTGAAAGCCCTAGTCTCCTAGAACACCTCTGAGCTTCTGACAGAGGGTTTTGTTCCAGAAAGAAGAGGTAGGAGAGCCCTTCCAGAGGACACAGTGTGCAAATGGCAATATCTCTCAATAGCTGTATTTTTAAGAATTTAAGCACTCTGCCCTAACAGAGTGTAGTGAGTGTAGTAGGTCATCTACAACCTTAATCCCTCTTCTGTCTTTCCTTTTAGGGTTTCCTTTTTCTTTACCATTATAGACAAGGGTGACTGGCAGGCCTGCCTTATCAGCTTTGCATGTAGTATTCACAACAGCTTCAGAAAGGCAAAGGAACAAGTCCACCAACAGAAGAAGAGAAAAGCTTCTAGTTTCCTAGTAGTCCAGGTGAAGACAACAGCTTGAGAAAGATCTGAGAAGGAGGAACAAGTTTCCTTTCTTGACTTGGTTTCCTCCCATCCCTCCC